AAACAGACGCTTCAGTTCAACTTGCACGTATTCAGGCATGCATAACACACACACACCCACACAATCAGATGCACACATTCACACACACTCACTCAGACACGTGTGCGCGTGCGCACACACACTCACACACACACATGCTCACTCACTCTCATACTCAGAGACACAAACACGCACACACACTCACTCAGACACACATGTACACACACAAACGTGCTCACTCACACTCTCTCACACGCAGACACAAACACACACGGACACACTCACAGACACACATACTCGTTCACACGCACACATTCACTCAGACCACATTCACACACTCACTCACTCGCTCACACTCACAGACACACACACACACACACACACACGTGCTTACTCACTCACTCTTGCTCACTCACTCACACACACACACACACACACTGACACAGACAAACATACACACTTACATACGCACAGTTCTCTGCCTCTTTACCTCTCTTGCCTCCTTTAAGACACTATTTAAAATTAACCTCTCGGGCCAAACTTCTGTCAGACCTAACGTAACTTAATGTAAGACTGTTTTCGAGTCAGTCCTGTGAAGGACCTTGGGATGTTTCATGATGGTGTACGCGCTGTTGAGATATAATTTGTTGTCGTTCAGGAGGGAATTGGGTTGTGCAGGCTAGGTAGGTTACCCATGAGAAATGCAGGGTTACAGGGATAGGGTAGCGGGGAGGGTCTGAGTAGGATGCTCCTAGGAGGGTTGGTATGGACTCGATGGGCTGAATGGCCTGCTTCCATGCTGTATTCTAACTAAATTCTAATCCCAAACTAAACCAGTCCCACTTGCCTGCATTCAGCCGGTATTCCTCCAAACCTTTCCTATTCAAACATGTGCCTGTTCAAATGTCTTTCAAATATTGTCATTGTACCTGCAGCTACTACCTCCTCTGGTAGCTCATCCCACATACAAGCCACCCTCTGTGTGAAAAAAGTTGTCCCTTGTGTCCTTTTTAAATCTTTCTCCTCTCACTTTTAAAAATATATCCCCCCCTCCAGTTTTGAACTCGCCCACACTGTGGAAAAGACCTTGGCCATTCACCTCATCCATGCCCCTTGTGATTTTATAAACCTCTATGAAGGTCACCCCTCAACTTCCTACGCTCCAGGGAACAAAGTCCCAGGCCAGCCAGCCTCTCCCTATAACCTCCAGTCCTGGCAACATCCTGGTAAATCCTTTCTGAACCCTCTCTAATTTAATAATATCTTTCCTATAAACAGAGCGATCAGAACCAGACACAGTGCTCCAGAAAGAGGCCTCTCCAATGATCCAGTCTGATGGTGGCGAGGTCTGATATCTGGTCACCCACAGAGCCCCGGTGATTGATTGATTTTAACTTTTCCATTTTCCCACTGCCCTGCAGCCACAGAGACCTGAAGCCAGAGAACCTACTCCTGGACGAGAAGAACAACATTCGCATCGCGGATTTCGGAATGGCTTCCCTGCAGGTCGGCGACAGTCTCCTGGAGACCAGCTGCGGGTAAGGGGGCTCGTCCCCGAACACGTTTCGTGTTCCCCCCCACCCCCCTCCGCTGCCGTGCCCTCAGGCCAATGTGTTTAGCCCACAATCGACATTGGTCAGCACAGTCTGCTGGCACTGCTGCTTGCAGGATCTTGCTGTGTGCTGATCGTTTGCCGTGACGATCTGTTTGAGGGGGAAATTCCTTTGCTGCCTATTGCTGTTGTTTGGGATGGCCTGTATAAATGCTGCGCCTCTCATTCCTTTCACCTGTGGATGTCTGCTCAATCGGCTCCACACTGGTGGTTGGAGCTTTTTCTCCTGTGTTCAGCGTGGGCTCTATCTGGGAATGAGATTTCCAGGGAGGGTTTGAACCCTGGTATCTCCCCCAGGTGACCCTCCATCGCCTGGAGCTCCTTTGACCTTGCTGTACCAGAGCTCGGAGGTAATCTCCAAGGATAACTCCAAAATAAAATCCGAAAGAACTGCGGATGCTGTAAATCAGGAACAAGAAGCAGAAGCTGCTGGAAAAGCTCAGCAGGTCTGGCAGCATCTGTGAAAAGAAATCAGAGTTAACTTTTCGGGTCCGGTGACCCTTCCTCAGAGAAACGTTAACCCTGTTTTTCCCTTCACAGATGCTGCCAGACCCACTGAGCTTTTCCAGCAACTTCCTGTTTTTGTTCCAAGGATAACGCCCTCGTCTGTACGCTGTCAGTGCCCGAAGCACGAACACAAAGACTTGCATTTGTATAGTGTCTTTCTCCACCCCTGCCCAACAATGTCCCAATGCACTTTTAACAAAATGACGTGTTCCCCCCCCCCACCCCCCACAAAGTGTTGTCACTGTCTTCATGTAGGAAGCACAATGGCTGTTAGTTGATATGGCATGCACCCCCCCATCCCCCTAAACAGCAATAGAAGGTCATCGGTCTGGTCTATTTGATATTTCTGCAGAATGCAGGGGACAATTCGTCTGCTCATCTCTGAAATCGTGCCACAGACACTTTTCCTGTGGAAAAACAGGCAGCAGAACAGTTCATCCTCTTGTCTGGACGACAGCGCTGTGCTATGGTCTGTGGAGTGGGTATTCGACATAACTGCACCCAGGCTGCTATCCTGTCATCAAGATACACTTTATTTACGTGTGCACCGTACATGGGCTCTGACCAGCCCGCTCAGAGCCAGTCTCTACAGTGAGGAGACTCTCTGAACTTCCTGTTCTTCAGCCAGGGCTCCCCGATTGGATCAGATTAACAGCCCCAATCGGGGAACTCATATTTTATGAGGTCCACCCGACTGACCCTGATACCATGACTACAGTATTGAACTGCAGACTCTGAGCTAAGAGTGTCACTCAGTGTTGTGAAGCACCTTGGGATTTATTTCCGGTGTTGAAAGGTGCTGGATGTCGATAAGAACACAAGAAATAGAACCAGGAGTAGGCCATTCGGCCCCTCGTTTCTGACCCGCCATTAAGTAAGATCAAGGCTGAACTGATTGTGGTCTCAACTCCACTTTAATGGCCCCTCCAACTACCCCCCAAATCCACGACTCCCTTAGCAATCCAAATCCCCTCTGCCTTAAATAATCTGCTCTGTTACTTTGGAGGGACAGAATTCCAAACATTCAGAACCCGGTGAGAGAAGAAATTCCTTCTTGTTTTGAAACTGTGCCTCCAGAACGAGATTTCCCCTAAAAGGGAAACATAGCCTCAACGACTACCCTGTCAACACCCACCAACTCCCCCCAGAATCTTATTTGTTTCAATCAGATCACCTCACACTCTTCCAAACTCCAATGAGTTTGGAACAAAGAACAGAAGTTGTTGGACAAGCTCAGCAGGTCTGGCAGCATCTGTGAAGAAAATAAATTCAGAGTTATCGTTTCGGGACCGGTGACCCTTCCTCAGACCGACCCCACCCCCAATGGGATGGGTTCTAGTGACTTGACTTCTCCCCACCAATTGCTGTTTGTGGGGGTAAACTGGTTGGCGCGATCGGCACATTCCCATTCATATCCCAGGAATTAGCCCGGGTGGGCCTTCTCCGCACTGCCTTTGAGGGGCGCTCCTTGGATAAGGAGAGTAGAACAGGACATGGTATTCCCACTTGGCGCATCGCTGAAGCTCTTGTAGCTGGAGGAAATCTTGGGGATGGAAAGGTGCGCAGTGTGTGGAGGCCAACTCAATGTCAAACAAAACACCAAAGGCTCCTAAGACATGTCGGCATATTTTCAGGATTGTAAATCCTGAGGGTCCAGGCTTGGATGGGAGCACAGAAAACACAGGCCTCTGTTGCTATGCATCTAACAATTCTCTACGTATTTTCTGTTTTTTGGATGCAGTTCTCCACATTATGCCTGTCCAGAAGTCATCAGGGTAAGTCCAATTCTTAGATTAGATCCTTCTCTTTCGAATGTGTTCAGTTATCAGCCTTGTTTATTGATGTTTACAAAATTTGCACAAATCAGTCCCCTCGAGTGTCATTCCCATAGACTGCCTTTTTAATGGTGTTTGCTCTTTTGCGGGGTGAGGTAGGAGTCACTGGTGTTTGTTGCCTGTCCTTAATTGACCTTGAGGTGAGCCATCCATTGGGGAAATATCTCCTCAGCATCTACCCTGTCAAGCTCCTTCCCCCACCCCCTGGAAACACTTACTTCAATAAGATCAGCCTTCATTCTTCTGAACTCTAATAAGCATGAGCTCAAGCTGTTCAACTAGGTTGGCTGCACACTGTTGGAGACCAGGTCAGGGTTTGAACCGTCCTCCAACATGTTGGCTCGAGCATGAAGGATCAGAATTCGTGGGGGGAAGTAGGGGGAGAATAGTTTAGAGTGGGGTGGCTTGGTGAGGGTTCATGGACTGGGTGGCTTTACGGTAAACATGGAGGTGGTGACTCAGTAAGATAGCGTCCTGGCATGTGGCCGTGGTGCCAGAACACAAGGTAGACCTCTCACGGTGTTTCCTGTCCACAGGGGGAGAAGTACGATGGTCGTCGGGCAGACGTGTGGAGCTGCGGTGTGATACTGTTTGCACTTTTGGTGGTAAGGAACCATGGGCCTGCTCTCAAGTCCCCAACCAATCAGCCAGGAGTCCGGGCTTTTAGCTTCAACTCCCCCATGTTGGCTGACTAAATTGGGAATTTTTTTTTCAAAAGTTCATTAACGGGATGAAGATGTTGCTGGATAGGCATTAATTTTCCCATTACTTATAGCCCAGAGAGCAGTTATGAGTCAACCAGATTGCAGGGAGTCTGGAGTTACATGTAAGCCAGACCTGGTTAGGATGGCAGATTTCCTAGTGAGCCTGTTTTTCCCGATAATTGGCAATGGTTATCATCAGACTCTTAATTCCAGATATTTTTGTAAAAATCCAAACTCCATTGTCTGTTGTGGTGGGATTTGAATCTGGGACCCCAGAGCATTACCTGGAATCTCTGCATTAACAGTCCAGTGATAACACCATGAGGCCATGGCCTCCCCTTGTAGGATAGAAACCTTGGGCCATTGTACTGCGAGCTGCTGGGTCTGGTGTGCAGAATGCCTTCCACCTCAACCCTTGGCATGACCAAAGATCACCTCCGAGGTCACATGACTATGGCAAGCCATAATGCCTGAAGGTAATTCCCCTCCAAATAGGCCAGGCGGACATTAAGCCGCCCGAGGTAAAGTTGAGGATTTCTGAGGGAACAGCACTAGCACCAAGAGGGTGAACTGCGCCTGTTCAACCCGTCAGCTGATGCTTCCACTGCTCAAGGTCCTGTGCTCTCCGTTCCTCGGAGGAGCCCCCCACAATTTTCATTCAGCAAAGAGCGGGAGAAGACCGCGATTTCCTGTCGCCTTCCTCAGGTCCCCTTAAAGAAAACACAAGTCCACATCACGAAGGAGATGACTATTGCCCCTTAGGGTGCCCCCCCCGTGCCCTCGCTGTGAGAACGCTGCTGGTTCTGCCGTTCGCTATGCCTGATGACCCTGAATTTGCAGCCTCAAGGTAGGCCTGGGCTAAAGGAGCCGGATGGTAGAGCAGCCTTTACTGGGGAATGTTACTGAAACTAATCTTTAGACATTAATAAATGACTTGACCCTGAGGTCACAAACGGATGGTCAATAGCAATATATTACATTCAGCACAGACGGAGAATAAAAGCCAAATCCTTAACTCTTTGGGTTCAAGCTTCTTGATTTTGTCTCTTCCCTTAGAAATGTAAACTGGACAAGAAGATTGTCATTTTTCTTGCCCTCCTCATCTGCATGTTGAGTGCTTTGTTCCTCAGCTTCCAGCACCGCCCCCCCTACCATGAAGAATTGAAGCCCTCCCCACCCCCTCCCTTGCAGTTTTTACATCAGGCTCCATTACTCTGAGCTTCCTGTTTGGCCCTCACTGACCGCCTGACCCCTCCCTCGACTGCTCCCTCTCTCCGGGGCAGCCTGCTTCCACTTTGTTCACCTCATCCATCTCCGTTTGTTGTTGAAACCCTTGTCCCACGGTCTTGACGCCTCAAGGCTGGGCCATTTCTCTCCCGGCCACTTTCCCAGCTTCCAACCCTTCGTCAGCCAGGGGTCAGCCATTTGCTCTGCTGCTCCCATCCTAACTCACACCAAATTGTGGTCAGCCAACACCACCGCCTCCTCCCCCACCCTCGTCCCATCAACCCCCCCCAACCGTGCACTCATCCCATTCTGGTCTCGGACTCTCCCCATATCCTTACGATTTCCTGAGAGTTACCATACGTGTATCGATCCCAGCCTTCAATGTCTCCCTGTTGGAGCACACACAGCTCTTCTCTGGGACAGAGAATTCCAAAGACTCACATCAGAGAGATGGACAGGGGGAGTGTGTGGGATATGAAGGTGGTTACTGCGATCGTTGCCCTGTTTTCTTTCCCCCAGGGAGCTTTGCCGTTCGACGATGACAACCTCCGACAGTTGTTAGAGAAGGTGAAACGAGGGGTCTTCCATATGCCGCACTTTATTCCTCCCGACTGCCAGAACTTACTACGGGGCATGATCGAAGTGGACGCAGAGAAACGCCTCTCAGTCAGTACCCTGGCCTAGCTCACACTCTGCCATGTCCTGTTTCCACAGCAATGGATTCACCATCAACACCATGGGGGAGTGGGACATGCTATCAGTGTTGCACCATTAATGGGGAAGGACTATCAATGTTACGCCTTTGAGGGGGAAGGACAATCAGTGATACCCCATTGAGGGGGAAAATTTATCAGTGTTACCCCATTGAGGGGGAAGGACTATCAGTGATACCCCATTGAGGGGGAAGATTTATCAGTGTTACCCCATTGAGGGGGAAGGACTATCAGTGATACCCCATTGAGGGGGAAGGACTATCAGTGATACCCCATTGAGGGGAAGGACTATCAGTGATACCCCATTGAGGGGGAAGGACTATCAGTGATACCCCATTGAGGGGGAAAATTTATCAGTGTTACCCCATTGAGGGATGTTGCAAGGGAGGGGTAGCAGTGTTAACCCCTCGAGGCAGCAGGTTTCACCTCATTGAGGGGGAGGATTAGTGGTGTTACCCTATTGAGGCTAGGATTTATTATTATTACTTCACTGAGGGGGAAGTTTTATTAGTGTTATCCCATAAATGTGTTGCACCATCGAGTGGGAAGGTTTAACAATGTTACCCCATTGAGGATGAGGGTGTTGTCAGTGTTATCCCATTGAGGGGGAAAGGTTTATCAGTGTTACCCCATTTAGGATGGAGGGGTATAGGTGCTTCCCCAGTAAACAGGGAAGTATTCTCAGTGTTCTCCACAGATGGAGGAGGATTATCAGTGTTACCCCATCAAGGGGGAGGGTTATCAGTGTTACCCCATCAAAGGGGGAGGGCTCCTGGGGTTACCTCATCAAAGGGGAGGGTTATCAATGTTACACCATCAAGGGGGAGGGCTCTTGGTGTAACCCCATCAAGGGGGAGGGTTATCAGTGTTACCCCATCAAAGGGGGAGGGCTCTTGGTGTTACCCCATCAAGGGGGAGGGTTATCAGTGTTACCCCAACAAGGGGGAGGGCGCTTGGTGCTACCCCATCAAGTGGGAGGGTTATCGGTGTTACCTCTTCGATGGGGGAAGGGGTTATCTCTGTTTTCAGGCTTCCCCTCTGTCGTGTTTGGTGCATTCACCATCTCGGTTTTCTCTATAACTGCAAGTGTCTATTCTGCATTCTCTCATTAAACACCTTTCCTTTCTCTCTCTCCTCCGCAACCTACCCGCTGCCCATAGCTGGAACAGATTCAGAAGCACTCCTGGTATCAGTAAGTACGCACCGCACTACAGCTTGTAGAGCCAGCAGCAATGTGCCAGAGCTCCAGCCACATCAGTGTGGCCCCCTCTTCATTCCCACCTCTCTCTCACTCTCCCCCTCTCTCTTTCTGTCTCTATCTCTCTCTCTCTGTCTCTCGCTCTCTGGCTGAGTCGATGATTGATGTCAAACCAGGGACAGTGGAGTCATCCGAAAGTGTCTAAGCAGCAGAATTTCAATCCCACTGGTTTTGGCAGGGAACATCAGTGACTAATCCACTTTGCTTGGTTCTTTTGAATGTGTTTTTCTTCATCTCTCTGTCCCTCTGTGCCTCCCTCGAAGAGTATTTGTTGGGTGCGGAAGAACTGGGTACTCCCCTTGTAAGGAAACGGTGGAGACAGGGGCATTTATTAATCAATGCTTCCCCTTCCTTGGGTATGAGCAGGCTTCTGGACCTCAAGGCCTCCTGCATCTCGATTAAACCCTCAGCCTCGGGTGGAGGGCCTAGAGCGGTCAGAGCACACATGCCAGACAGGCCATGAGAAATGATTTCCTTTGGTTAGACGTATCTAGGACTGGACAACACAGTTTAAAACTGAGAGCCAGACCTTACGGGAGTGAAATTAGGAAATTCTTCTCCACAAAAATGATGTTTAGAACATCCTTCTACAAAGGGCGGTCAATCCTCGATCAATTGTTAATTTTAAAATGGAGAGATTTTTTTGTAATTTGAAGCTATTAATGGATTGGTGGGGAGCAAAGGTGTGGGATTGCTGTGTGGCAGACCAGGCGCGAGGAGTGAAATGGTCTTCTCCTGTTCTGGCCCCTTGAGGCAGTGATTAATTCCTACAACTCAGTGATTAAACCCAGGTCAATTCAATGTTCTCATTCCTTTGATTCTCTTGTGCAGTCACTTCCCGGAGTGGCAGGTACTTTCGTGCTACTGTAAACCTTGGACTCAGTAGCTGTTTGTGTGTGTGTGTGTGTGTGTGACAGACTGTATATATGTGTGTGAGAGACCGTGCGTGCGTGTGTGTGTGTGAGAGAGAGACCATGGGTGTGTGTGTGAGAGAGGCTGTGTGTGTGTGTGTGTGAGAGAAAGACTGCGTGTATGTGTGTGAGAAAGACCATGTGTACGTGTGTGAATGCGCGTCCGTACGTGTGTGAATGCGCGTGTGTACGTGTGTGTTTGTGCGTGTGTAT